AATGTACTTATTCTAGTGTCATCAGTTAAGTTCCATCTAATAAAAACCCTCTTCCAGTTTAACTACAAGACAAATTCAGCAAAAAGTTTAATTTGTTTCTCTATCTCCTATGTCCATGGATTTCTGTGAAATCTGCCTAGTATTTTCTTATCCTACATCAATATTTTCTTTATTATGGATATCTATCTATCTATCTATCTATCTATCTATCTATCTATCTATCTATCTATCTATCTATCTATCTTTGTAGCAAGGAAAACAGCAATTCAATTTTTTAATGAAACTCTTTCTGCAAACATGTCTGATTTATATGGGTTGTGTACATATTTAGTATATAGAGTAGAACCTGCCACACTGTAATGGAGAATTATGGGATATATTTTTATCTTTCACAGATGAATCAAGACATCCGCAGTATAGGGGACGATGGCCCAAATGAGGGAAAACTTGTGGTTCTGTCTATCAGAGCAGTGTGAGAAGGACACTTCTATACTTCACTGAGTCCAACAAAGTTAGTTGGAGCAAAACAAAGTTTGGGATTCAGATTCAGTACACTGGACAGCTCATATGGCATTCAATCTGCCACTAATAAGAGCACGACAACGTTGCTTCAACAACAGGCAATACAGGCTAAGTTTAAAATAGAATTTTAGCTCAATTTTGATAATAAGTAACACCTCCGATGGCAGAAACCTTTTCAATCCAATGGGCATAGGCTTTTTAATCAACTGCCGACTCCAATGACACAACAGGAACAGTAATTCTTAAACAGTATTATTCAGGACCATTTTATGCCACTCCACCTCTCGTAAGGTAGTTTGGTCTATAGGATAGCAAATGACCTATGGCTGAACCCAGCCCTCTAATCCTACACATTGGCTCTTAGCACTTGGGGTGTGGGTTATGACATCATGTATTTCTTCTGTTACTGTTTGGTATTTCTTTGCAGAGTAAATTGTTTCTAATTTTTAGCTGTACATGCTTTAAGGACCTTAATACAGAAGGAACAGTAAGATGCTAATTATGTTAACAAATCCATATGTTGTAATGACTTTGTTCAGCCAATGTATTGCTTGCTAAAACACAAGCACATTTTAATCTTTTGTAATTAGCCCTTTTGCTAGTGAAAGCAAAAATAAATATGATACATAAATCATCAAAATGCTCAAGAACCATTTAGCACTTCCAGCGAGATATTATGGTATCTTAAAAAAACAATCTAGCAATTAGTAAGCAAAAATTTGTTTTATGTATTAAAACATATGCATCAGTTCAAAACTTTAAAAAAAATACTTCGATAATTTGTCCCAATTTCTATAGCATACATCTGTTAAGGTTACTACTTAAAGGGCTCCCATTTTTCTCTTCTTGTTAGATTCCCAATCCCACATTTTACTCCTCTGCTGAGTTGTTTTCTTTCTACCTACAACTAATACAATGAAGAAATACTGGGAATAATTGACAGATAGTCTAACCTATGAGAGCCTTTGTTCCTAGTTGGACTAACCAATCCATGTGACATAGTGGGAGGTACTCCTTGGAAACACTACATTTGCAAGCATCGGTGTGTCTTTCCCCTGCAAGGAAGTTTGCTGAGCAACGTGGAAATAGGTGAGGAATTTTTAAAGGGTTAGATTAGAGATTACTCACAACATTTTGAGAGTTTATCTTTCCCTGTCTCTTAGCTACCTTCAGATTCTTTTGTGCTAAGTCAGGATGAGCAGAATTTTAACAAAATAGCAAGACAAGAGAAGGCTTACCTGCACAAGGTAGAGCATAATTTAATCCAAGTGGTTTAGAAGTTCTGTCCAAGGTCCTGAAAATTCTTGCTCCTCTCAAGCAAAGGGGGCAGAAGAGAGAATTCTTGGAAAAGTACCTACTAGTGGCCTTGTATTAGATGTAACATGCTCGGTATCTCATCTTCTCTAACAGTTGTTTGTAAGTTCCCCACCCTTGTGCTGTGTCTCTAATGGAAGGATGAAATCACTTATTTATTAGGGTCAGGTCACTGAGCAAGCAGGCTGTTTCCAGATAATGTGCAAGCAAAGAGTCTGTCATGGAGGGAGGGGAGGGGAATGGGCCTAGTATGTCATTCATGCTGAAGAGCCTGGAAAATCCCTTCTCTCCTTCCTATGTGAGATTACGTAGCAGAAGGGAGAACTCTCCAGATTCTTAGACAGAACAATGCTGTCAATTTTGCTGTCTACAAGCAAAAGGCACAAATTATTAAGGGTACAATAGAGCTTGTGATTAATAAAGTTAAAATGATATATATTAAGAGCAAAATATTTTGCTGTGGTATATTGCTTTACATTCTGGTTCAACTTCTAAGCATGTGGGGCTTAATGAATAGGTGGTGCTAGGTGTTCAGAGATTGCAACAAAATCCCCATATAATTCAAGATTATCAAACAAAAGTACACAATGAATTTTAAATTCAAATGCAGCTTGATGTCCAACTATGGAATAATCTTCCAGTGTAAACTTAAAGTGAAATTTCAAAAGTAAGATATTGATCTTACTGAATATCTGTGCTGCAGGGCCTGCAACTCCATTTTGGTGAATATCCATTTAATATCCATTTGTCTCTATCTGCACATCATATCTTCTTGTTTTTGTAACTGGCCTGTGCCTGCCAATAGATGTGTGAAAAATGCCTGTTTCTTAGTTATTCCTAATCATTGTATTTATAATGAGGAGGGCACAAAATGGTACATGTTTAACTGCTGTAC